CGTCTGGACCCAGGCACATTTTACCAGTGCTAAATCCAGTATATGCTTCAGAGAGACCATAAATACCAGAAGGTGGCAACACTTAATCCCCTTCAACCTTCTGTAAGTGCAGTAGGCAGGCTGGAGGAGGAAACCTGAGCTGTGTGAGCGTTCCCTGAGCACCTAGCTCTCTTCAGAGGTCTGTGATACTGCAGATCCACCTCAGCGGGCTGCATTTTCCTGCAATGAAGAACTGTTTGCCTCCCACTCATTCCAGTTAGCTATCATCTAATTAATTTTTTGCCTAGGAAACCTTGGCAACCGAGCAGGGTATTGGCCCTGAGATGTTGATTTTTCTCTGCCTGCCTTAGTATTTGTAAAATTAGAATTTTGCTGGTTACATGATCAGCTTTATTAAAATTGCAGTTACATGGCATATGAGTTTTGGGGTTTTTGTGTGTATTCCATGTATCCACAGTCCTCTGGGAGCAAATAGTTAAGTTTTGGGCACTGCTCTCGCTTTCTCCATTTTAGCCAATCGGTTACTGGTCTTGTGATTTTTGCATTTCCATATTTTAAAGAAACTTCTCACCAGCCCCTCTCCACCTCAAGAAATCAGCAATCTGAAGGAGTCAAATAGCAGAAAGGAAGAAAATAAAAGCATACTTTGTGCAGTAGCTACGATACAGAGTATTAAAAAATGAGTTGGAGAGTGAGAAAAACCTATGGCTGTATTTCTGAGGATCGAAAGAGAAACGTCAGGACTCTTTGCAGGGGAAATTTGAAGGTTGCTGGAATAGCTTTATCAAAAAAATTCTAGACTGTTGTAGGAAATGTACTGGCATGCAAAGGCTTTTATAAAGATTAAAGGCAGCCTCCCTGAACAGTATGAATTGAAAGCTGACAGTTGCTGAGTACACATATTGCAGTTGTATGAACCAATGGCAGGAGGATTACTTTACCCTTCTTGGAGCCAGAAATGGCAGGAAGTCTCATGTTAGTGGTAATGCATTTTGCATTAACACATCGTGATGGAAACTTTGGAATCCAGCCTTCAAAATGTTAATAAGCAGGATGCAAGAAGGGTATGCACATTAAGCAAACTATATGAAGCCAATGCAAGAAGAGTTTATATTTGGATTTCCTGTATATTTGCTTTCTGTTCTGTAATCCACCTGCATGTTATTGCATATTCTGTGTGTGTACCTATATGTGTGTGTGTAGGCAACAGAATTATGGTTTGAACCGGGCAAAACTTGTACGTTGCCAATCTTGTATCAAATTTCCCAGGGTGACCTTGCAAAGCATCTGTAAGTAGTTTCCAAGAGCTCTGGGCCCCATACGTGAAAGATCACACTTTGTACTTTCGCTTAACAGGTATTGCGGAGATCCGCCACTGAACACGCCTGCATGGTTGAGAAGAGTAATCAGCTTAGAGGCTTAGTTTGAGAAACCTCTGAGTCTGCAATTCGTTGTACAGGGGACAGCTTTTAGCAGATGTGCTTTAGTCCCAAATTTCTGAACATCATTTCCTCTAAAAAGAAGCCAGAGAACTCTGCAGCCTGTTGCGTAGGGAGGCCCAGAGCGGGCACTCTCTGGACAGGATTTTGCACCATGTGGTGTGGGGCTCGTAGTGCTCCTGGGGAAGTTACCCTTCTTGCCTTCACTCTCCCTTAAATCCACACTTTCCAGGAAGAAAGTAAGAAACTTACTGGAAACATTTTCTTCCATAACACAGAATTTCTTGTAGAAAAGCCCCCCAAATCCCCAAGTTTCTGTAAAACGGGAATAGCATTCCCAAACATGAGCCTTGTTTCAAAGACTCCTAAATAAAGATGCTCAATGACTTTAATAATGTACTGAATTCTTTTCTTCTTGTTTTAATGACAGGAACATTCATGTGAAGTCAATTTATGTAAGGAACAAAAACATGTGCAAACTGCAATACCATCAAAGGAAAAGGTAGGTAAAAGATAAGTGAATGCAATACAGCTTTATTTCAGTTCATAAAAGTATCACTTGTTCATTTAGATTAAATGATTATCTGAGAACATGTTCAGATATGGCAGTTGTATCTGGGTGCTTTTTACATCCCCACATAGCTCTGCTGACTACCTTCTCTTCCCTGCTCCCACAAGTATCTTTATTAAATTATCTTCTCAGTTAATCTCACAAAAAACGGGGAAATGTTTGTCTCCTTTCAGATATTCAGGGAGACCCACATGAGCAAATGAAGACTATGCTGTATAACATAATTCGAGGGACCTGCTTTTGCTTGTGAAGGGAACTAAATTTGAGCATTAGTCAGAGCTTTTGGTCTGACAGATCCATTCATTCCCCGGACATGCTGCATGACACAGCTCTTCAGTGCATTCTTTAAGAGCAGGAAGAGGGTTGGAATGGCTGTGTGCATGGTGGTGTCCACTGTAGTGGGCCGCTTTGCTTATTGGCATCTTATTTATGAGAAGTTGTTACTAGGGGATTGCTGTGGTTTGTTAAATTATATTATATCATTATGGGGTCTGTTAGATGGACATTTAACTGCCAGATTGCGTGCAAGAAACTTGCAATCAACCACATTCTTCATTGATTTACCAATGAATTTTCAAAGCTAGTTGGACACTGTAAGCTGTGGTAATGCCTTGACTTGAATTACCCTGATGTATAGCTGCTGGGATGGTGGCCTAGTTGTTTGTAGGTAAATAAATACCTTTCAACTGGTATTTGATTATTTTCTTTCCTTTTTTTTTCCAACAGAATTGCTCTACACCCTTAATCGACAAGGATGGATGTCGTTTTTCTGAAGTCGGCTGTTCATTTAGGGTGAGTGAAACAGCTGCCTTCAGGAAGGTCTCAAATGGTGTACAGCTCAGCACTGTGCCTTTGGTCTAGCCAGCCTTTGTGTTCAAGGTAGTGGGCCTTGATTTAAATATATCTTTAAGAAAAGAGAGAAAGTCTTTTAGTAGACCAGCAGAGTTCCAAGAACTGCCGTGGTTACACAGTGCGTGCACGGTGCAGTTCAGCCTGTGATGCTCTGTATCCTGCACTGTGCATTCACTTCAGGTAAAAATGGATGTTTATTACAATTCTGCTGGTTTATCAGATACGCTGTTCTACTCTGCTTTGGATATTCCCTTTAGGGTAACGTCTCTTAAAACAGTGACGGGTCTTCTTTGCATTTCAGTTCGTATCTGTTGCCATATCTTATCTTTTGTGCACAGTCTATGTATTAAATATTATTGGAGAATCTTGCTGGGACTCTGCCTGGCAGCCTGTTTAATACAGAAATTGTAGCCAATTGTTTTCTTTTTACATAGCATATGTACACATGTGAACACATACCCTAAACTGATCACTGGAGTGCTTGTTGGTTTTCCTCTCTCTGTGTCTCCTCTGAGAGTCAGCTGCTATGTATCTGGACCTGTATCGTGCAGTTTTTCCATCTCTGTCCCTCCCAAGAAGTTGAAGGGAGCATTGCTTGATTTGGCCCCAAGCCAGTTATGGTAGTTGTACGGAGAGTGTATTGATGCTGTCATCTTCTTACAGGGAAGCAAAGAGAAGACAAAAGAACATGAAAAAACTGCAGTTGGGGCCCACATGCTGCTTCTGCTGCAGCACATAAAGCAACTGAAGGCAAGCTTGTGCACTGCTGCCAAAGCTGCAAACAATTTCTTCCCACAGTCAGAGCTGAATGTGAATGATGCAGGAAAAAGCATCTCTGATCTGCAGATCCCAGCAGGGCTGGAAGTCAATGGGGATGTGGAAGTAGACTGTTTTACTGGATCTTCTGTTTCTGGAGATGAATCTGTTCTGCAACAACTTGTGAGGGAGAAAGTGATCTCTGAACTAGAGAATAAGCTACATGTGTTTGAGAATATTGTGGCAGTGCTCAATAAAGAGGTGGAGACCTCTAACTTGGAAATCACAGCCTTTCGGAGACAGAGTGAACTTGATCAAAATATAATACGAGGCCTTGAACTGAAGGTAAATAGTTATGATAAGCATTGTATATGTGCTTGTTCTATAGGTAACAGATATTTACATATATCAGAGAGAAGTGGTGTAGAGTTCAGCACAGGAAAGGGCACAGGCATTTGAGCTGTGAAGTGTTAAGTTCTGGACACATCTACAGGATCCTTTTGCTGTTTTGGATAAATTTTCAAATGGGGATCTCTAACATCTGTTATCTAAATCCATGCCTAGGTACCTAGATATTCCTGAGAGTTTTGAATGTTCAGAATTGCCATGATCAGACTGTGAGCAAGCAACAGTTGTTTAATTGTTGGATCCTCTTAAAGCAGCATTATGACTGGAAGACCAAACAACCATCTATCCAGTTGTTTGCCTTATGTGTTGATATGTAACTGTCACTTAAAAAGAAATCAAAGGAGACCCTCCAGAACATGAGGTCTCCAGATCAATTCTGCTACTTCTGCAGCACAGCAGCCTGGAGAGGGGGGTTGATTGAGAACTGATTGTTTTTTTCCAGATTGCAGAGCTGCACCGTTGCCTGACGCAGAAGGATGCAGGCCTGAGCAGTCTTCATAAGAGTCTTCTGTTCTCTGAGCAAGCTTCCTATGATGGGGTCTTTCTGTGGAAAATAACAGATGTCGGCAGGAAGTTACAAGACTCTCTGACTGGAAGAACAGTCAGTTTGTATTCACCAGGTAAAACACGATGTATACATGTGTTAGCAAAACCCAGTCCTTTAGAAAACCTACTGATTTCTCTAGAGTGATGCTTCTTTCTGCGCATGTGGACAGGAGGTCCTTTAAAATAGCTCCTTAAACTAGGATGCTGTTTATGCAAAGACCTCATGCTCTCCTGCCTGTAATTCAGGGCAGCTGTTATGTGCTGTGCCACAGAGTTGTGTTCTGTTTCATTTTGCAATTCGCCCTCCACTGCAGTTCTTTGCAGTGACGTTTGCTGGATCTGTCTTTCTAACCCATAGCTTGGTGCCTGATGGTACAGAATGGCTTTCTGCAGCAGTTATCTGCCACGTCAGGAGTAATTTGATTAGGTAAAATACGCTTGTGTGGCTAATAACAGGTAATTTTCACTGAGGTGTGAGGCACTAAAGGATTCCAACCACTGGATTTTCATTGCTGATAATCTCCAGGGTATACTGATTCGTTTGTTCTCATCTCTGTGATAGCAAAATGCATCATACACTGTATTTTCCCATGTGCCAGGACACTCATCATGTCTTTTTTTTCAAAGGAGGCTTTACTAATGAAGAGTTCTGATTTTCAGCTTTCTACACTGCGAAGTATGGCTACAAGGTCTGTCTGAGGGTTTATCTGAACGGAGATGGGACAGGAAAAGGAACCCATGTGTCCCTGTTCTTTGTTGTCATGAAAGGAGACTACGATGCTCTGCTCCCATGGCCTTTCAGACACAAGGTAAGGGCAGCAACCTTTTCCAATCTGACCCTAGCATAAACCCACTACTTCTCCCAGTGAACACACGGGACTTCTTCTCTTGAGTTTAGTGGAAGTTGCAGCGTTTTCCCATTTTCCTCTCTGATGGCTAGAAGCCATACTCTAATCTTGGGTAGTAATTTGTCTCTCAGTTGAGTGATTTACACACAGGGAAAGTTGCTCCTACCGAGGTTCCATACCTTGCCTTGTAGGATTTTCAGACACCAGAATACTGGTGTTTGATATATCCCAACCTGTGTCCACCTGGGCTAAAGCCAGAGACACATTTTTTCCTGGCTTTTGCTATACATAGACAATATCAATTTATGAGGGAATTATGATTTGCTGCCTGAAGCACAGATGTTAGAAATGTAAGGTTAGAGTTCTGCTTACAAACATGCCATAGATGTCATACGAGATCCTGATCTTATTTTTTCTCACAAGTGCAATCTGATAGTGGCAGCAATGGTTAGAAACGCAGTGAAAATGTGCACAAGGTTCTGGTCTCTGTTCTAGCACTTGCCTTCATGTGGTAATAATTCTGGAAGCCTCTCGTATAAATAACCTTACTACCATTTAGCAGCCAAACAAAATAGAAATCAAAGTTCCAAATCCTCACTGTATTAAAGAAGTATTACATACATTTCACATGTAAAGCTAAAGAACAGTGAGTTAATAAAAGTGGTAATGAGATGAGGAGATTCTGTATTCATATTTAGGTCATGTCCTTTACATATTTGCGTACAGGCAACTGAGCTGTATCTTTTGATTCCAAACCACAATAACAGAATGGAGGTAATGACTGTAACCAACCTCAGGGTTTGTTTAAGTTGTCAGGAGAGAGAGGAAAGAAGTCTTTGGACTCTCTACCAAGAAACAATTCCTTACTTTATTTTATTTAATTTTATTTTACGGGTGACAAAGTTCTAAATACTTCATCTGGGAACTGTTACAGTCTCCCTTGTTCACATTAACAGACCTTGCAGGTTGCAGATCTCTCATGATTTGTATTTCATTATCGATAGAGCATCCAGCTGCTTTTGCAGCATGTTTGTACTTCTGTCTCTGATATTTTCTGGTTTATCTTTCAGTTCAATAACTCATCATTGCCGTGTTCTGTCTTGCAGGTTACCTTTATGCTGCTTGACCAAAATAACAGGGAACATATTATTGATGCATTTCGCCCAGACTTGACTTCTGCTTCATTTCAGAGACCAGTGAATGATATGAATGTCGCAAGCGGCTGTCCCATGTTCCTCCCTTTGTCCAAACTACAGTCGCCTAAATATGCCTACGTGAAAGAAGACACGCTTTTCCTTAAATGTATTATAGAAACAAATTAGTAAATCTTGAAATATGGGTGTCTGGTAAATCACCCACCGAATTTCATTAGTTTACAAGAAGAAAAAGCATCAGCTTGAGACCTTGCATTAGTTTTCATGTGCACACAAAATCCAGAGAGCCTGAGCCTGTCTCCCGTGAATCAGTTCATGTCAGCTGAAGATCTGCCTGCTAGAGTTCGCTACGGCTGAGCATGCCGCGTACTTTGCCCGGTGCGCCACGGAGTGTGCTATTGCAAATGAGGTCTGTGATTATTTCATCAAAACAGCCGATACTGCCGGTTTAGATGTAGGTTACTGTTACCCCCTCTGCAGATGCGCTTGTGGAAAAAAGCGCTGTTCTTTCTGACGCCTGGTCCAGGTGCGGGTGGCATTCCGCCCAGATGTCTGGCCAGAATGCGGCCCGAGCTCCCTTCTAGCACCTTCTAGGTTAATAGGTTTCTGAGATGCAGGGGTGAAGCTGAGCTTTCCCCATCCTTTGGCAGGGCTGCGGTGCGTGCAGCTCCCTTGCCCGGGGGGTATGGAGCGAGCACCTGTCAGACTGCGCTGGCTGGCAGCCCTGGTGTGGGATTTTGGCGGTTCCCCCACCAGAAACAAGGGCAAATTCCTTCCCCTGTGGCTCCGATCGGGTGTCTCCGTTTGTGCTTATTGATGACCTTGAAAGCAGTGAGTTGTGGATAGCATTTGTAGCTGGAATTCCTTATACCAGATGATTTATATCTTGCTATTTATTTCAGACCTATATTTATGTGCTCTGTAAGATGTTCTATGGCATCAGCAATTGGTGACCAGATTACACTATGCCTTGGGGAAATTACCTCTCGTATTTCCAAAGGAGTCGTCTGACTTCCCCATTTCAGACATGGAGCTCTGAGGGTTGTTTAACCCCCGGCAAGTCCAGAGCTGCCAGTCCAAGCAGTCGTAAGGAGCCCTCAGAAGCTTTGTTTTAATGTGTTCAGAAAGAACCTAAAGAAACCTAAAGGCAAACGACTTATTAGAAAGTATTTTTTGTCTTGCTGAATTCTTTTTATGTGCTCTGATGTTTAAGTCTTTTCACATGCTAAAATAGGAGTAACTACTAGAAATGTTTTTGTCTTTTTTTTTTAAATAGAGGTAAGGAATGAACTGGGGTTTTTTAATTAGCAAATGAAGTTTGGAAATGTGTGGATGCGTGCGAAGTTCAAATGCTACACCTTATCCCCAAAAAGCAGCAAGCCTCACCCTCTGCATTCCCTGCTTAACAACTGTTTGACAGAATCGGTGGAGTTGAGTTGGGTTTTGGTGCAGCAGTTCCTGAACTTCCAGCGGACTCATGCCGCAGTACAGTTCGCTTGTCCAGGAGCGCGAGCTGTTCCGCGGGACAGGCGCGACGGCAGTGTAGGAACCCAAGGCCTGATCTTGCAGACAGAGGCAGGTGTGTATTTTTAAGTGAAAGGCTTGTATGCAATTACTTTATTTTTCCTCTGCGGTATTTCCCGCGTCTCAGTTGAAGACACAAAGCCGGCAGTGCCCGCTGCGTGAGAAGGGAGAGGAGAAACTGTTTGTCCACTTATATTTTGCAAACCATGGAAACCGTGGCCGTCTAGCAGAGCTGGTGAAATGTCATGTGCTGTGACTAACCTCCAGCCTGACTGCCGGCGTATGAGGAGGTTTTGCAAATCTCTCATCTCTATCTTGACAGCATCCTTTGAAATAATTAGTTGTGATGAAGTATCAAATTTCAGAAAAAAACCACCCCATAAACAAAGATCTATCAAAGCTTGTTTGGGAAACGACTGGATATTCTTTGCCATCACATACACACACAGAAAGTCTCTTTCTGTGTTTGTTTCTCTCTTACACATTTAAAATGTTCTTTGAGGGACAGAAAGTTATTTTCCCAGTAACGTGCCAGACCCTGTGACCACACTGGAGTAATATGCCTAAAAATAATATGCTTTTCATGGCTGTGTAATTTTGACAAGTGCTGTATTTATTACAATCATTCATATTTTCTTACAGTTTTATTTATTTCCTAAGTAAAGCTCACTAACTTAAAAAAGGTTTGCGTATTATTGTCATTGTAAAATAGGGAATTGAGCAACTGGGAGATACGATGATAGCGGTTTGCTATAGAAACAGCTGAGCAGTGCTGCAACACTCACTTATTTCCACTGCAGCAACACCGGGCAGGTTTCCCCAGCGTGGAGCCCGGCTGTGCTGTGCGCTGCCCGGTCCCCCAAAAACAACCAGTCCCTGTCCCGAAGAGCCGGTGATGCCAAGAGGCAGCCGAGGCGCCGGGGGTGAAGCGCCTTGCCTGCGGTCCCGCAGGAAATCGGTGGAAGCTTTGGGAATGAGCCCTAAAGCATCTCTGCTCTCATCTCGGTGCCATCACGATAGGGTCATCTTTTCTTTGCCTCTGGAAGTTGGTGTTTGTATGGAAGACGTAGCACCCAATATACGGGGTTTTGACCTGGAAAATTGAATAAAGGGTTGTACAACTCCGACTCCCATGGCACTACCCCCTGCCAGCCGGGCTCGGCGCACGGGGTATCGTGGGTGGCGATGGCACGATACCCGGCACAGCCAGCTTATTTCCAGAGCCCCTTCTGGCCCCTGCAGCCAGAGCGGAGCAGGAGGGCGGCGGCAGCTGATCCGGCAGGAATTACTGCAGATTAAGATGGCGGCTGGCTCTGCCTGCTTGCCGGGGAGTTGCTCCGTACCTGTGTAAGCTTTCCTTGGCCTCGCTGGCTGTGGAGCTGCTTTTTCACCAAGGTTTTCTGATTAGCTGC